ACTGTTGCCATGTTTTTCTAAATGAAAGCAATCACTGACAAGGATATACTGATATCCTTAGTAAGAAAAGTGAATTGGTGGTTTGTTTCTATTTCTATTTTCTTTTGAGGAGATGGAGATTTCTACAGAAAGCATTGCATAGATTTGATGTGGTTGACTCTCTTGTTTTGGCTTTTGATGATGATCAAAGTCTCACTAATGTAAACTAATTGGAAGCATTGGAGGTACTGGGTTTTGACTTTAAAAGAAAGAATTTAATTACTTTTAATTGCATATGTTAATTGAAATTTTACTAGGCCAATAATGATGACCTAATAGGCATCTTATGATTAGATATGAGTAATTGTACTTAAAATATTCAATATGTTTGGACAATTGCTGGATTCACTTTAAAAAAAATTTTTTTTAAACATGTTTATTCACTTTTAGGAGAGAGACAGAGCACAAATTGGGGAGGGGCAGAGAGAGAGAGGGAGACACAGAATCCAAAGCAGGCTCCAGGCTCTGAGCTGTCAGCACAGATTCTGATGTGGGGCTTGAACCCACAAACTGTGAAATCATGACCTAAACCCAAGTTGAATGCTTAGCCAGCTGAGCCACCCAGGCACCCCTGGATTCACTTTCACTGCAGTAAGTGGATGTTTAAAAGTGTTTTCTCCCCTTATGAGAATGTACACATTTACCTCACAATACAATTTGGATATGTGGATGGTTTGGACTACTGTCATATAGTGGGAATGATTTATTTTGTTTGTAGTTATGTGATGGAGAATATCTGCTTTCCCCCACACCCTAACAGTTTTTTGGTTTATGTTGACTGACTTACTTTACCATATTATCTTACTGCAAAGAACCAGAAAAACCATGAATGGTTATGGGTTTTTTTAACACACAAAATATTGTGAAAATGATCAGGATACCATTTTTTAAAAATATATTTGGAATATGAATTCCAGATGGTAGCTCCACTCATCTCCTTTTCTGGAGCTTGTCAGAAATCACGCACAACAAGCAAAACAGCAGTGACAGTGGCTAAATCTTCTCATGTCTGATTAGGAATCAGAAGACCTGAGTTATATTCTCAGGTTATATGGTTAATTAACTCTTTTTCTGTGACTAGGCAAATAATTTCCTAGTTTTCTAAGTTCCTGTATATTTAAGTGGTTTGAAATCTATGATTGCCATAATAAAATATTTTGAAAACCATGAAGTGAAAATACGAGGTCTCATTTTGATAATACTGGAGGTGTTTTTGAACTAAAATTCTTCATGAATTTTTCACCAACTCACAAAAATTGAGTGTGGAGGGAATAGGCAAGGTGATGTCTTCATACTGTTGTAAAGAAGTACATATGAGGGGTGCCTGGGTGGCTTAGTCGGTTAAGCGTCCGTCTTTCGCTTAGGTCATGATCTCGCGGTTCGTGGGTTCGAGCCCCGCGTCGGGCTCTGTGCTGACGGCCAGCTCAGAGCCTGGAGCCTGTTTCAGTCTGTGACTCCCTCTGTTTCTGACCCTCCCCTGCTCACGCTGTCTCTCTCTCTCTCTCTCCTAGAAATAAATAAAAATAAAAAAAAAAAAAGAAGTACATATGAAACATGAACCACTGGGACATAATCTCAAAAATTTATGAATTCTGACTCGATTTTATTTAATGTAATAACTCAAGTTGTTAACAAATAATTTGTAAATTTGAGTAGTATCTAAATTGTATATGACCTCAGTTATACAGAAGCTTTTCTTCCTTTAGCTTTTCTCTCTTTTGTTGAGGTTTTGTTGGAAGAATAAAGAAGGCAAATGGATTTTTTTCAGTCCCCTTTGTGGCTATAACTGAGATCTGTGCCAGCTCATTTGTGGGAGGATGAAGTAGAAACGCCTCGAAATGACTGGCCTGGCTTCAGGCCTGCTGTTTCCACCAATCCTCCTTTGTAGCTGGGGTCACTTTAGCTACATCTGCAAGTTTCAGTATGCCCAGGTTCCCAGATCGAATGGTTTCTATTTAGGCCACATGAAGAAGCTCCAGGCCAGCAGCTTAGTAGCCCAGCCTTGTGAGTCTAACAGTTTGTTCCCCTACTCTGAACCCAGCACGAGTTTAGTCCCTAAAGTCCTGCCTCATTTAATCATACCTGAGTCTCTATTTCCTGCACTGTCCCATTGTTCTCTGGAGCAACAGCCTTGCCTTTTTCTTAACTAAACTCTTGAAGGGTAGAATTTTCTCCCTGTGCTCCAGTCCCTGTGTCTGGATCCTGATACCCGCGGCCATATCTTCCTGTGGTGCTTTCCTTTTAAGTAAGCCTGGACCTTCCCATTGGTGATTGTACTATACCGCGCTCATCAGACGTACAGCTGCTGACTTCTCGACAGCTGAATGTCTCCATGCTTACCAGTCAGTGTCTGTTAGGCCTCTGCTGATTGCTTGCTTAGAGACATCCCCTTACTCTCTTTGGGTTCTGTTACCTGCTTCTGGGATCTTAGACCAATCAATAGGTCTGTGCGATCTCTGGGTTTAGAGTCCCTGGGACTGAGTCTGAGCCAGGTTATAAAATGCCCCAGTGTAGCGTATTAATATTTTATTAAAGGTTTTCTTCTTTTTAAAAAAAAATTATTTGAGAGAGAGAGCTCATGAGTGAGAAAGGGTCAGATGGAGAGAGAGAGAGGATCTTAAACCAATACAGGGATCAATCCCACAGATTCTGGGATCCCAACCTGAGCCAAAATGAGGTCAGACACTCAACCGACTGAGTCACCTAGGTGCCCCATGTTTTCTTCTTTATATGAAATTTCCCTCAGAGAAGATTATCTCTTTAGACTTTCAAGTATAAATGTGGAAGAGGAACTCAGTGTTCCTAGGCATTTGGTATACCAACAAATGCATGGAAGAGAGTACCAAGATCTTTGGACCAGAAATTAAGAAAATCCAGCCCCCATATACACTCCCTTCTCAAAATACAGAGCAAAACAAACAAAAGCTCCAAAGGGATATAAAAATGACCGGGCATGGACTTTGGTAGACCAGGAGATGACAAGAGAAAATTAGTTAATACATCTGTAGTTACTAGCTAAATTAATGCTCCCCCTGCACACAGTGACCCTCCCCCCAGTAAAAAGGAGGCAGAAGCATGAATTTGATGTCCTCCAAATTATTAAATAGTTAAGTGAACTTTAATAAAGTAATTATGGTCTGCTCACCTGAATTAATCCTTTGATGTTAAATGGGTTGTTTTTTGTCATTTTTGACATGGTACGGTATATTGACTTGCCACAGTAATACGTTTGAAAGGGGTTTGTTTTGGTAAGGCAAATGTAAGTGAAGTAATATGTAATTTGAAAACCTGTGGAACTGTTTTGAAGGACTCGTGAAAGTATTTCTCTTGGAGAATTATTTGTTCCCAAGATTCGTAGGTTAAAAACAATCTAAACAGAATGCAAAGAATCACACAATTTCATTTCCATCATAGGCAAAATGATACGGAAAATTCTTTATGGAAAAGATACATAAATGCAGCATGCAGGATGACGGATTTAATGAAATGAACCCATTAAGAAGTTTTTTACTGCCCCCTGCTGTCAGTTTCTAAAAGCAATATTGTAAAATTACTGTAAAGAGTGACTCAAGAAGAATTAATTGAACAAATTGGTTGGAAAAAAATTCCCTGCCTTTAATTACACCACGTTGTAGTCAGCAATGCTAATGCTTACTTCGTGTTTTGAGTGATAACCTGTCAACCCAAGAAACCAACTCTATCTAGTTAAGTGTGTACTAGTGGATGTAGGGTGAGAGGTCAAGTTTGTGGCTTGTGAGATGCTATATTTGTAAGAATGTATCAGTGTTGCAATTTTTAGCTGGTGATATCTACTTTACTCTTTTGCCAAATTTCACAATTTCAAATGTACTTTTTAATAGTTACATAATCTAGGTGAAACACTCTTCACAATAGCAAAACTTTCAAAGTAAATGAGTGGATGGCTTACTTTTGTGGCACAATCCAACTTGAAACGTTATTTCATTTTGGCATATAAAATTAAGACATGAGGAACGATTAAAAAATGGATAATACTCATGCAGCAGTCACTAGGCACAAGGCACAGTTTTATTTTTTTCCCATACTTGATTTAGTCCTCATAAAATAGAATGAGGTAGGCATTATTTTAGTTCCCATTTCACGGATGAAGAAACTAAGTCACAGAGTAACTTGCCTAGGTGACACAATTGGTAAAAGGTGGAGCCATGATTGAAAACCCTACAGTCTGACTTTAGAGTCACTCCTCTTAACCTCATTGCACACGGAGTATGAACTCTGCAATGAAGGAGGAAGGCCTTACAGACATTAGAATGGTCATGGTGACGTCAGTGTATATTGCCTCCAAGCAGTGACACACTCATCGAATTATGACACATTTGCTACACCCATGCTGTAGTGACCAGAGCCTGTGTATAAACAACAGACATGCATTGCTTTCAGATTGCTTTATCTTTCTTTGTTTCCTTGGTTGCATTACATTGAAGGTATTACATCGAAGATGGGGGTGTATTTTTTCAGTGAGTATGTGCCCACTCAGCCAATGCCTTGGGTCAGATTATATATGTGGGGACCTGTGCCTTTCATCTCTGTAGTGCCACACAACTAGTTTTAGCCTCACTTCCAACCATCTTCAGCAGCTCATATACAAATTAGACACACACTTTCACAGTACTTTGAATAAATGAGTTGCACATTTTAAGTTTCCTTGGATGCTATTAATTCTGGAGTCCTACTTAACAACCCATTTATGCTTCTCCATGCCTGTCCTGTCTTTGCCTTCCCTTTTGTAGCACATGGTTCATGATAAGAGATGCATCCCACCCATGATAACTAACAAAGCTACTATTTGCAATTCTAGGATGCTTTTGCCTTACAGTTACTTGATACCACGAATTCAGATTCCAGAGGGCTAACTATCCAGGAAATCTCATTCCTGGATATCAACACAGATTATTTGATATTTATAATAAAAAATTTCTTACCTGACTCGAGGAGTTGGGTTTCCGGTGACTCTACACTCCAAGTAGACTTTACTTCCTTCTGCCACTTCTTGGCTTCGAAGCTTCTGGATGAATCTTGGAGCTGAGGGCAGGCGGAGTGCATTCTGGGGCTGTGGGTGAGAGACGTTATTGCATGGCACTGCCTTGTCCTGGTCTGCCCGGTAGCAATGCCTGGCTTCAGGTAACTTGACCTCTGCTTCCGTCTCCTGTTGGTCTCCAGTGGGGCTCTGGCTGGCTGAGGCACTCATCAGGGCTGATGGCTGATTCTTAGGAGACAGGTACCCACTGTCTGGTGATGAGGACTCCCCATTTGGGCTTCTGTTTCTTGGCTTTGCTGCTTCTCTAAATATGGATGTCAGCTCCTCAATGAAATTAGCCGCCTTGTCACATAGCTGGCTCTGGGGGCCGGTCTTACTTTGATATGCTGGTTTGGGCTTTACACTTGTGTTGGGAGTTTTTGCACCACGTTTTCCAGACTTTCGGAGGCTCCGGATATAGCTGGGGCTGGCAAGCAGGGGTGACACGGCAGGTTTCCTCTTCGAAGCAGGTGAAGAGATAGGGGCGGTTTGTTCAGGCAGAGGCTGGACAGGTGTTGGCCTATTATCATGAGGTCTTCCTGAGGAGGTCGGCTCACCAAATTTGGTCTCCTTACGGGAAGGATTTTCACAGAGGCTTACAGGAGAGGTGTTGAAAATCTGCGAGATCTCCTTTTCTGAGTCAAAATCTTCTGTTTCAGAGTTGGCTATAGATCTCCGGGCCAGGTCAAGACTCTTGTTTATCTCTTCCTGGCTGAGAAAAGCAGATAGCCCAGGGAAGAAGTCAGCACTCTTGCCTTCTTCCTGCATGTCTGATAGGGAATCATAGAAGGAGTCATGAGAGGAAGTCTCTGACATAGTTGGGTAGTCTTCATACACTCTTTGTCTGCTCTTGGCAGGAAGGCCAGAGGCACTGGAGACCAGTTTACTTCTTGTGTTCTGAAAGGCAACACACACAGAATTGCCATTAGTAGTATTGGGTGTGTGGGTGTGTTTGTGTGCGTGTTTGTGTGCGTGTGTGTCTATTATCATAATACTACTAATCTACAAGTTGGGAGAAACATTAGAGTGAACAAACACACTTTTGTAAAAGTCATTTTTCTCTATCGTTTAAGTTGGAAGAAACATCAGGTATACTTGTGTTTATAACATTTTCATTTAGTATTTCTTTGTGAGTGAATATTAAGTATCCCACTAGCCAGCATTGAATAATTAAAAAAAAAATATGTATATATCTCTGAGTAGACACTAAAGAGAATAGTAGGACTAACTGTGAGATCATGACCTGAACCAAAGTCAGAAGTTTAACCACTTAACCGACTGAGCCTTGCAGGTGCCCCAACAAAGGGCCTTTAAAAACTCAGTACTTGCAGGAGGAAGGGAAGATGGTGGAGAAGTAAGAGGCTCTGTACTTCCCATCTGCATCTCTCAAACAAAGAAGGGCTGAAGCAAAAGGACTCTGAACCCCAAAAGTCTGGGAGGAAAGGAGACAGAGTTTACTAGGAAGACAGCCTCGTAACATGAGTGTGAACTGAGGGAGATAAAAATGGCTGGATAAGGAGAGGCGGAAGGGAGGGAGCCCCTTCTGTAGAGAGAAAAAGGGAAGAGAAAGCGCAACTGGGGAAGGACTGTGTCTGAGGAAGACAAAAACCTTGACGGGGGGGGGGGCGGGGGGGCGGAGAGGGATCCTATCCTATCCCCCATGCCAGGGAACAAAAGAAGTTCCCTCCAGGTCAGGCGGTACCCCAGGGACCCACGCGGCGTCAGGAGGAACTGATCCCCTACCCTGAAGGGCCAGCTCGCGGGATTCCATTTCCGGTAGAATCATTAACACACACAGTGAGAGCCTGGAACGTCTGCAGCACCTTGGCCCACTTTGACTGCGCCCGTGGGACAGTGAGAACAGATCCGAAGGAGTGATTTGGCACACCTGGTCCGAGAAGGGTCTGGGGATTCTCCGTTTTTCTCCCCACAACCACCAAGGCGGGGCCTCAGTGATCAGCCTGCAGGAGCCACAGTGGAGGCGGGACTCGCCTACACCAAACCACGCCCATCTGCACTGGGGAGCTGCTGGGAGCCGGTAGATGCTATAGAAACAGACGGCCGCTCCTCCAAGACCAGCGCTGCTGCATTGCCGTAATTAACTCTAGGCCATTTCTTGCTCTTCACATATATTCTCCCTTTTCTCATTCTTATCTCTCCCCTCCTCTGGGCTGGTTATTCTCATTATAGGTTTGCTTAAACAGACATATTTAATCCATCCTCCTGATGCATGTTCTACACCTCCTTCTTTACCTTCCTTTCTCTCTCTCTCTCTGGAATAATTAGACTATATAGCTTCTCTAGGTAACATTGTCTTCATTTCTTTCTCCTTGCCTCCTGCTGTATTCTCCTTTTTTTCGTCTCTAGACTAAGCCTCTTAGTCTCTCTGCCTGGTCAGTGTTCATTTTCTTTCTCCCCACCCCTGTCATTTCTCTCTTTGTATCTGCTCTTCCATCAGCACTGCCTCCATCCTGCTCTTTATTTGTGGCTGGGATTTCTGGTTTTATGCTTTTACACTGTCCTGTGTGTGTATATGTGTGTTTTGTCGGTTTCCTTGTTTGATTTGTTTGTGCGTTTGCCTGTTTTTGTTCCCTGTTTATTTGTCTGTTTTCCTTTCCAGGGCTACTTCAAGGAACAAACCAAAGCACACATGGCGGAGAGTCCAAAACATCACTATGAGGAGGGAAATAAGATAACCAAAGTCAATCAAGAGAGACCAAGGGACACCCTTAAAAGAACACTTCCTGAATGGCCAGGCCCTGGACAGTGTATGAGCTGCCTTTAATATAGCAGTACTCACAGGTGCAGAGCACATAACAAGCCTTTAAAACGTATAATAGACAGAAAGCTAGCCAAAATGGTGAAATGGAAGAACTCCCCTCAAAAAAAATTCCAGAAAGAAGTGACAGCTAAAGAATTGATCACAACAGATACAAGCAACATAACTGAACAAGAATTTGGAACAAAAGTTATAAAATTAATCTCTGGGCTTGAAAAAAGCATAGAAGACAGCAGAGATGCTATTGCTGCAAAGATCATGGATCCTAAAAATAGTTATAATGAATTAAAAAATGCTATAAATGAGGTGCATAATAAAATGGAGGTGGCCAATGCATGAATTGAAGAGGCGGAGATGAGAATAAGTGAATTAGAGGGTACAATTAGAGAAAAAGAAGAAGCCAAGTAAAAGAGAGATAAATTGATCCAGGAGCATTAAAGGAGAATTCAAGAACTGAGTGATGCAATCAAATGGAACAATATCTGTATCATAGGAATTCCAAAAGAAGAAGGGAGACAATAAGGGGCTGAAGAGTACTTGAACAAATTATAGCCAAGAGCTTCCCTAAGCTGGGGAAGGAAACAGACATTGAAATACAAGAGGCACAGAGAATTCCCCTTAGACATAACTTGAATTGATCTGTATGACATATCGTAGTGAAACTGGCAAAATATAAGGATAAAGAGAGAATTCTGAAAGCAGCTAGGTATAAATGGGCCTTAACATACAAAGGTAGACACATCAGGGTAGTAGTAGACCTATCTACTGAAACTTGGACGGCCAGAAAGGAACGGCAGGTAATCTTCAATGTGATGAACAGAAAAATATTGAGCCAAGAATCCTTTATCCAGCAAACGAAACAAACAAAAATTGAAGGAATTCATCACCACTAAACCAGCCCTTCAAGGGATCCTAAGGAGGACTCTATAAGGGAAATGTTGCAAGGAACACAAAGTACCAGAAACACCACTACAAGCATGAATCCTACAGAGAACACAATGACTCTAAATCCATATTTTTCAATAATAACACTGAATCACTGAATGTAAATTGACTACTCCAATCAAAAGATACAGGGTATGAGAATGGATAAAAAAACAAGATCCATCTATTTGCTGTCTACAAGAGACTCATTTTAGACCCAATGACACTTTCAGATTGAAATTAAGGGCATGGAGAAATATCAATCATGCTACTGGAAGTCCAAAGAAAGCTGGAGTAGCCATACTTACATTGGACAAACTGGACTTTAAAGTAAAGGCAGTAACAAGAGATGAAGAAGAGCATTATATAAAAATTACAGGGCCTATCCATCAGGAAGAGCTAACAATTATAAATGTCTATGCACCGAATTCGAGAGCACCCAAATACATAAAACAATCACAAAGATAAGCAATCTTATTGGTAAGAATGTGCTAATTGCCAGAGACTTTAATACTCCATTTATAGCAATGGATAGATCAACTAGATAGAAAATCACTAAAGAAACAATGGACCTGAACAACACATTGGATCAGATGGACCTGACAGAGATATTTAGAACTATATCCCAAAGCTATGGAATTCACTTTCTTCTCCAGAGCACATAGTACATTCTCCAAGATAGATCACATATTGAGCCATAAAGCATCCCTCAATAAATATAAAAGAATTGAGATCATACCATGCACACTTTCAGATCACAATGCTATGAAACTTGAAATCAATCACAGGAAAAAGTATGGAAAACCTGCAAAAGTGTGGAGGTTAAAGAACGCCCTACTGAAGAATGAATGGGTCAACCAGGCAATTAGATAAGAAATGTAAAAATACATGAAAACAAATGAAAATACAACAATCCAAACTCTTTGGGATGCAGCAAAGGCAGTCCTAAGAGGAAAGTACATTGCAATTCAGGCCTATCGCAAGAAACTAGAAAAAGCGCAAATACAAATCTAACAGCGCACCAAAAGGAGCTAGAAGCCGAGCAGTAAGAACAACCCAAACCCAGCAGAAGAAGAGAAATAATAAAGATCAGAGAAGAAATAAGCAATATATAATCCAAAAAAACCAGTTGAACACATCAATGAAACCAAAAGTTGGTCTTTGGAAAAAATAAACTAAATTGATAAACCTCTAGCCAGGCTTCTCAAAAAGAAAAGAGAGAACACCCAAACAGACGAAATCATGAATGAAAACGGATTACAACCAATCCTGCAGAAATACAAGCAATTATCAGGGAATACTATGAAAAATTATATGCCAACAAACTGGGCAACCTAGAAGAAATGGACAAATTCTAAACACACACACACTACCAAAACTCAAATGAGAAGAGATAGAAAATATGAACAGACCCATAACTAGTGAAGAAATTGTATCAGTTATCCAAAATCTCCCAACAAATATAAGCCCTGGACTAGATGGCTTCCCTGGGGAATTCTACCAGACATTTAAATCAGAGTTAATACCCATTCTTTTCAAGCTGTTCCAAAACATAGAAATGGAAGGAAAACTTACGGACTCATTTTACGAAGCCAGCATCACTTTGATTCCTAAACCAAACAGAGACCCAGCAAAAAAAAGAGAACTACAGGCCAATATCCCTGATGCATATGGATGCAAAAATCCTCAACAAGATACTAGCAAATCGAATTGAGCAGCATATAAAAAGAACTATCCACCATGATCAACTGGGATTCATTCCTGGATTGGAGGGCTGGTTCAGTATTTGCAAATCAATCAATCTGATACATCACATTAACAAAAGAAAAGATAAAACTAATATGGTACTGTCAATAGATGCACAAAAAGCATTGGACAAAATACAGTATCCTTTCTTAATAAAGACCCTCGAGAAAGTTGGGATAGAAGCAACCTACTTACACATCATAAAAGCCATTTATGAGAAGCCTACAGCTAATATCATCTTCAATGGGGAAAAACTGAGAGCTTTCCCCCTGAGATCAGGAACACGACAGGGATGTTCATATTCACCACTGTTGTTTAACATAATGCTGGAAGTCCTAGCATCAGCAGACAACAAAAGGAAATAAAA